AATCAAGTAATAAAAAATAACCACAAAATTAATTGCAGTAAGACATCCCATAGTTGTTCCGTACAATCGGTTAGCACACATGGATTGCGAAGTGGTAGCAAGGATATCATGGATCCATGAGGTGGCAGGGAGGAGCCAACTATGGATTCAGCTTGGGTGGAGTCTAGTGTGTAGATGGTGTTGTAGGTCTAGCAGAAGATGGTGCTACAGGTGCCAATCGGGAGCGAAAGTCTGGGCTGGACCAGTTGTGGGTTAGAGCAAGGGGGTATGACCTGCTGGGAACACAAACCAATATGCATATGGAAACAAAGAGATTGGGAATCTTGAACCATTCATTTAAGGAACCTTAATATCAAACAAGTACAAGTCAGTAGAAAAAGTTCAGTAAAGATCCACCAGTTTAGGCAGTATGAATCCTGCATGACAGAGAGAAGGCATTAAAGGGAACCAGCCAATTACATTATTTAACTTTCTTGTTGAATTCTTTCAGCAGAACCTTTTCCAGGTATGAAAAGGAAGCTTAACATCATTCCAAAGTTCTTGTGCCGAGAAAGAGTTGAATCTAAAACATTTGGAGTTTCTTTCCTTCAAAATGTACCACAAAGAAGCTAGCATTGAAAATGTTCCAAATTACTAACTGGTAATTTGGGATTCATTTGACTATGATAAAGGAGAAAATAACTAGCAATGGATATAAAAGTTATGCGCAAGGCTCAAACGGTGCATTTCAATTATTGCCCTCCTTAATCTTCCCCTTTGTAGTGCTTAGAGATCCAACATTATCAAGGTTAAGATTTTTGAGGGCATAAATATTGCACTACTACTGGTGCAAGTCAAAATTGCAAGTGCCAGCAAAAATCAACATTATCTGGATTGCACATGAACCACATAAAAATTTTTAGGTTATTTTCTATTCATTGACTGCTAGATTTGAGCGAATTTTTGTGATCCTGTTAAATTATGTGGCAAACTATTATGGAAGCAAAGCAAAATTTGAAGCTTATTTCTGATTTTAGGCTGGCATCTTCATTAATTTGCTTAATCAAAATACTTAAAGATATTCATTTTGAGATCTATCTCTGCAGGTATGATTATTCTGGATATGGCCAATCATCCGGAAAGGTCCACGATCATTTCAAGTAACATGTGCTTTGATTTACACTATATTGATTTCTTTGGTGATGCTAAATTTGCAATTCTCTTATGGCAGCCAAGTGAGCAAAACACCTATGTTGATATTGAGGCAGTTTATAAATGTCTTCAAGAAAATTATGGGACCAATGCAGAAAATATTATTTTGTACGGTCAATCAGTTGGCAGTGGCCCTACTTTAGATTTGGCCACTCAATTGTCTAATATAAGAGCAGTTGTTCTGCACAGTCCCATTCTGTCAGGTCTCCGAGTAATGTACCCGGTGAAGCACTCATACTGGTTTGACATATATAAGGTGCAAATTGTATCTTGTTGATTCTATCATATAGTGGTTTGTTTTGCTTGACCACTGTTAATAGTTTCTCAAACATGCTTTTCACTGCAGAACATTGATAAAGTTCCACGTGTAACCTGTCCAGTGTTAATAATTCATGTAAGTTAGAGTTCTCTGTATCTTTTCTCATCTTATGCTGTGTCATGTTTTTTCCCAAAGTCTTGTATAGTAGTTGCTCTATGGTGTCAGTAATTTGTGTTTGGATAGTCATTTTGTTGATGATTTTATTCTTGTCATATGTCTAGCCTAGCCTTTTCTAGAAAACATGATTTCGACCATGAAATTTATTACCGTATTAGTACCTTTAAAAAGTACTTAAAAGGAGTCAATTGGTTCTTATGTCATGCTTTATTTGCTTTTAAGTGTTTTTTTTTGTAGAAGTACTTGGCAGTTCTTGTATTAGATGGTGATATTCGTGGTAAGCATATTTTGGAAACAAATATTTGAAACTTGAAGGTTCTTTCAAGCTAGAGCTTTCTGAGCTTACCAACCTAAGGGCTTGGATTTATATGCATTGAGCTTGCAATTTGGAATTAAAAACTGCACATATTTCTTTTCTTTGCTTTTTAGATGAAAAAAGCTGATATTTTTCTTTCTCTATTGTTAGTCTGAAACATTTTATTTCCACTTTGATGTAATCAGTATTAGGGTATAGGATTTTGTTAGGAAATACCAAGAAATTTCCTGCTGAATTTAGGAAAAAACATCCCCCTTGCAAGAAGATTTTTAGGAAGAGAGAGAAATCACAAACATAACAACTATATTTGATGAAAGAAGAGCAAACTCAAGCAAGATACAATGGATCTCCAATCCGAGAAGAAGATTAGGCTCTCCCGATCTCTAGCCGGCGACTAGAACCTAACAAACACCAAAATATATCAAATTTCAGCCGAATTCAAGATACCTTAACCCTAGAAAACATACTCCTCAAAGCATACAAATCAAAAGGAAATCCCAGTCAATGCTTTCAAAATTTCCCTCTAAATGCCTCCAATTTCCTTCCTAGACAGAGTTGCTTGGCCCCATGGTTTGGGCAGCAGATGCATTGTTCCTTCTCATGTAGACCCGAGTCGGTCTACTGTGGATCGGCTGGACCGGCCTCATACCCGGTCTAATAATATGTCCCTCCCAAAGATCCATCTTGTCATCAAGGTGGAATGATTGAAACTAAAGCTTCCATTTTTGTACGGTTCCCAAGTGGCATCATAGTCGGGTAGGTTATTCCATTTTATCAACACTTCCTTGATCCCTCATTCTCCTTGTTGTAGCCCTTTAAGCTCCAACGGCTCCAACACCACCTCCGAATCCTCAGTCAATGTCGCTAGTAACTCGACATTAGCTGCATGCTCCTCTAAAGCTCTCCTCAACTGTGACACATGGAACACTGGATGTATGGTAGCGGTCAGGAGTAACCTTAAGCGATAAGCCACTGCCCCAATCTTCTCCAATATCTCGTAAGGGCCAAAGTACCTTGAGGTCAGCTTTGTGTTCCTCCTGTTGGCCATTGTCATCTTCTGTAGGGTCATAATTTTAAAAACACCTTATCCCCAATTATGAATTGGATGTCTTTCCTGTGTCCATCTGCTTGCTTCTTCATGATCTGATGTGCGTTTGTGCCCACAAGAGGTGCCTCTTCAATTCCTCTAACACCTTATTTTTTTCCTCCAAATACTGCTTTACTTAATATATTGGTGTGCTCCTCTGCCCAAAATGTTCCAAGTGTGTGGGGTCTCTTCCATATAACACTTTGAAATGGGTCATTTGAGAAGCTGAGTGATACGAAGTGTTGTAATAGTACTCTTCCCACGCTAGCCACTTGGCCCACAGTCGAGGTGTCTCTGAGGCAAAACACCGCAGGTTAGTCTCCAGGCTTCTATTGACTACCTCTGTCTGCCAATTTATCTATGGGTGGTAAGAGGTGCTTCACTTGAGAATTGTTCCTTGCAGCTTGAACAACTCTATCCATAACTGACTGAGAAACACAGTATCTCGATTAGATACTATCAACTATGGGATTTCATGCAATCTAACCACCTTTCTGATGAATGCTATTGCTACTATTACTGCTGTGTAGGGATGTCGTAAGAAAATGAAATGAGCATACTTACTCAACCTGTTAACCACTACCAAAATCACTATGAAACCCTCAACTCAAATTGTGGCAACCCATCTATGAAATTCATGGTAATCTCCTCCCATACTCTGTTTGGAAGAGCCAAGGGTTGAAGTAATGCCCTTGTAGCCATAGTTATGTACTTATTTCTTTGGCATACTTCTTCACATCTATCCACCATCTCCTCCACATCCTTATGCATCCATTTCCAATATAGTTATGCTGCTAATTTTTTGTATGTCCTTTGCACTCCCAAATGACCTCTAATTGTGCAAGCTATGCCTCTCCCAAGTCACACAGCTTCATTACTCTAATAGCTGCCCGAATCTTGGGCTTGAGCCCCTTTATAAAATTTTCCTCCATCACAGTCTTAGAAAGCCGATTCAAATATGCATGTTAATGCACACCTTGATGGGTTTATTGACAAGACCACTTTAACTTGAACCATTCCCAAAACCTTGATTTGAATGTTTTTTCAAGGATGTTTAGATTATCCTGATAGGAAACACTTGTAGATCTCAAGTATTTCCTATCAATCTTCGGAAAACAGTGAGAATTCTCCACAAAAACAGGAAAAACAGTAGATAATTTGTATTATTTGATGAAATAGAAATGGGAAATAGCAAGATATAGTTGATCCTCAATTCGAGATGAGGATCTATCTCTCCCAAATCTCTAGACGCCACTAGAGCCCAACAGAAAACCTAACTCTAGGAGATCTCAAATTTCAGCCAAATTCAAGATGCCCTAACCCTAGGAAAACAAACTATTTAATGCATACAAATTAAAAGGAAAACTCTAAACAATCCATACATTCAAATTTCCCTCCTAACTAATTGAAAAAAAACTTCCTAAAAAAATTATGCACGCCGTACGTGCGTTCGGTGCCTACAGGAGGGGGAGAAATCTGCCTCTGTGTTCGCGTATGTCGGTCCCATCAGACTGGCTAGACCGGTCCAATGGACCGGTCTAACATATCCTCAATCTTGATTTGCTTACAAATGAGGCATGGAGGTCCGCTTATATGTTGTTCTTGAGAGAACGTGTCATCCTTCATTGGTGGATGAGCAGTTTGTTAATATTCAATTACAATGATTTAGCCATTTAGGAGTTCCGCCTATTCACAGTAGCAAGCAGAAAGAAGACTTGATAGAAAGTTGAAGTGGATGCTAAAAAAAGATTGATTTCCTCTACATGGTGCTAAAAGGTGTGTATCGAGAAGCTCTAAACCACGATGAAGAATTTCCTTAAATTCTACTGGTTTATAGAAGTTTTTCCAACACTGATCAAAACCTATTGCTTCAGTGTGCCTTCTGAGGTTTCAATTGTTGCATAAAGGTTCTGGCCTTCTGGGAGATTGCATGAAGCATGCATATTTCCTATTGATTCGTGAGCTTGAGAATAACCGAATCATTTTTTTTTTTATGGAAAAGTAATAATATTTGATTTGTTAAGGCATCAGGTATTATTAGGTTTATGATTGGAAGCACTTATAGAAATTTAGGAAAAGTCTTGGGTGAAATTTGATTTCAACAATTTCAGAGAACTAACGACAAGAAAATCAAGAATAGAACGCAAAATAATAATTTTTTTTATCAAAAGTTTTATGAAAGAAAGACAAGATACAAGTGGATCTTCAATTGGAGAGGAAGATTCGGCTCTCCTAAATCTTTAGCCGCCAGCTAGAGCCTAAACACTCTAAAAATAATGAAAATTCAGCAAACAACACATGCCCCATAACCCCAGGAAATCAACTACTTAAAAGAAACAATAAACAACAAATACGCAAATAGCCCTCTCCCAATTCCCTCCCAAATCTGCTCTATTTCTTTAATTATTTTTCTCTTAAATCAGCCATCAAATCCGCCCCCAAATTTGCCCTCTTTAATTTGAAAATATTTCCTAACGAATCCTCTCCAAATCAGCTCTCAAATCTGTTTTCTTTAATCAGGAAACATTTCCTATTTAGTCCCCTCCAAATTAGCCCTTCGTTCCTGCAGCTACCGCTCCCGCCATATTAGTTTCACATGCGATGGTCACGTAATATGTTGATATATCAGTTGTTTAGCCTTCAGCAATAGGTTTAAGCTTTTTCATTAAAAATAGATTTGCCTCAATTTTAGTATTCCTTTGATGCACACTACCTAACAAGTGGTTTTAGAGCTCGGTCAATTATTACCGAGGGATTTTTGTGATTTCTGTCTTCTTGGTGTATTTTGCTCAATTTTAGCGTTCCTTTGATACACACTACCTAACAAGTGATTTTAGAGCTGGTGGTTCAGTTGTAACCGAGTGATTTATGTGATTTGTGTCTTCTATTATCCTTGGCCCCCTTTTACTATATTTGAGCGAAGTTCTAGAGTTTGTGGTTCCCATGGTGGATCCATGTCATTGAATAGCCTTATTAGTGCTAAAAAATTTATTTGAGCAGAGCGATGGTAGATATAAAGGCTCTTATTTATGAAAGAAATTATTAAAATATGGAAGAGTACTTTCTTAGTTCCATATTAGATAATTGAAAATAATGAAAGTTTAGAAATGTTGAACTATTTGCTTTGACCCCACAATCTTAGACCTTTGGGTTAAAAACGTATTTGTCTAAATGTTTCTAACTACCAATTTCACCTCACTTCAATTTACATTCCCCAACCGATTTGGCATAGAAATTGGAATAATAATAAATAATTTCTAAATTTGATAACTCAGTCAACAAGCTCAAAGTTGAAATCTGCAATCCAATGGAGCATTTTGTGAACCATCAAGGAAAACTTGGCACAGGTTTCATAATTATGTCAATTTAGACTTCGTTTGGGACGGTTTTTTATTCCTTTTTAAAACAGCTTCATAATACAAAAAATTTAAATTTTTTCTAAAAAATTATGCTTTTAGAAGCAATAATAAAGCTGCCCCAAACGAAGCCTCAATCATCTAGTGCTTTTCTTAGCATCGCATCTGAAACAGTTCTATTTATTTTATTTTATTTTTTTATTTTCAGGGGACAGCTGACGAGGTTGTGGATTGGTCCCATGGAAAACGCCTGTGGGAACTTTGTAAGGAGAAATATGAGCCTCTTTGGATAAAGGGTGGGCGCCATTGTAATTTGGAGCTATATCCAGAGTACATCAGGCATCTTAAGAAGTTCATATCTGCAGTCGAAAGAACACCTTATGTTAGAAATGAATCTGCAGATGCCTCAGCTGTATCAGATCCACCTAGAGTAAGCTCTGATCAACTGGAGCCTGTTAGGAGCAGTACAGACTGGAGAGATAAATCTATGCCATCTGATTATGAGAAACCTCGGCAAAGTACAGATGTTAGAGAGAAATCGAGAGTCAGTACTGATAGGAGAGAGAAAGCTGGAAGGAATATTGATCGGCCAGACAAGGGGAGGAACAGTATGGATCAGCCAGACAAGCCACGGAATAGCATTGACAGGTTCAACTTCTAACATATTTTTCTTGCTTTTCCTTCCCCATTTTCAATAATTTTATGTGACACACATGGAATATGTATGCTCGTGAGATCCAAATTGCATCTTTAATGATTCCTTGCTGTTGTCTTTGTATCACATCAAGTATTTTTATTGCATGGTGCTATCTTGTTTTTAAGGAAAAATTATTCCGTGCGGAGTCCGGACGAAAAAGATCCGTCCGGACTGTGAGTGTACTTACTATGTACAAACAGTGTGCACACAATTTGATTAAAAAATTATCTACTTTATAGGAAAGATCCGTCCGAACTTTGCACGGAATAATTTCTCGTTTCTAAGAGTTTGCTTTATGGTAGTTGTATAACTGCTATCAGTGCAGAAAATTTTTCATTTCAAAAACATCGGCCAATAATTTTCTTACAACTATTATATTAAAGTAGATTAGACTGTAAAGATTGTAACATGTTCATTCTTATCACAAAAATTTCTGAAAAAAAAAGCCGTAAACAAGCTGAAACAAATAGACTTCTGCTAGAATCTTAGCCTTGTTTCTTATTTATAAGCCTTCTTTTCAATATAAAATGGCTTTAATTAGATGAGCGATTAGAAGTGTTTTTTTGTTTATTATTGATTCAATTAGTCTTTTAGGCTTTGTTTTGATTTTTTTTGCTATTTTTAAGAAATTTTTGAACTAAAAAATTGCTTTAAAATACAGTAAGAAAGCTATCTCAAATGGGACAGCTTTCTTACTGCTTCTTAAAGCAATCTTTTAGTATAAAAATTAAAATTTTGTACTAAAAAGTTGCTTTAATAGGCAATAAGAAAGCCGTCCCTAATGAAGTACTAGGCTTCGTTTGGGACGATTTTTTTATTGTTTCTTAAAGCAGTTTTTTAGTTACAAAATTTTAAATTTTATACTAAAAAGCATTTTTAAGAAGTAGTAAAAAAGCCGTCCCAAATGAAACCTTAATCTAATTTCTTGATTAATTGGTGTAGGTTTGGGGTGATGATGAAGTCAGCTGTTTTGTGCAACATTGGCTGTTTCAGACGCACAACTTCCATAAGCTGAAGCATACAGAACATTTGGGTTAGTACAGTCTACCTTTTTTCTTTGTATTAGTTCATTTTGGTTTGGCTTAGGCTATGCTCGGAAGGTTCAAATGCCTTCCTGCTTGATGGTGATTAGTTGTTTAACAAGGCTTCTGTAATTTACCTTATAGGGATTAGTGCCCTTTTATTTCTCCTTTGTGAACTAAAATGATAGTGAAGTTTTATCTAACCGATTATTTTTCATTTTTCACTAATTACAATGTGTTATTGGAGGTTGGCATTTCTTTTAATTTGACCGTTTAATTTATGCAAGAAGATATTAAAAATTTTATTAGAATGTTGAAATTATTGACGGTTTTTTTTTTCACAAATGAATTTTATAATTTGCATTAGTTTCTTTAGTGTAATTTCATAAAATCTATAAATAATAAAAAATCATTATGTGAGAGTTCGAGCGTCATCAGGACTCCAATCAGGTGAAAACTAAGGCTGTTAAAAGCGGGTTTCAGATCGGATTCGGGTCAAACCCAAATTTTATTAGATACTTTTTAACCCGACCCATTTTTGCAAATGAGTCGGTTTTTTAGACCCGAACTGATCTGCTTCTGGTTCGGGTCAACCTAAACCCGACCTAAGAAGCAAATTAAGATAAGATTTATTTCAATCAATTTAAAATAAATCAAGCTTAATTTAAATGGGGCAATATGGATTATTATTTTTTGAAAATAGTATTTATTTATTTCATAACATTCTTTTAAAATGCTCCCAAATCAATAAAAAATGGGTCAAACTGGGTTGATTTTGAATTTTTGGGTCAACTTGAACTCGACCCGGTTTTACAAATGGGTCGAAATCCTTAACATGTAACCCACCCGGTTTGGGTTCGGGTTGACTATAACCCAAAATTTTTAAGTAGAATTTCGATTGAGTTTTCAAGTCGTGTCAAATATTAACGTCCCTAATGAAAACGCATAGATTTTCTTTTAACATGGTGTGTACAAAAGAAAATTTACTTGTCCATGTGATTGTAGTCCAAGCGAAAAGTTGTGTTCGGACTCTGCATGCAATAATTTCTCCTAAATAATCAAAGTTTTAAAATAATACAGTGAACATGATCACCATTATCATGATTGCTATGAATTAATAATAAATTGATGTTAGTGTTAAAATAGCAAACAGCCAAACATTATATAAATGTAAGATGAATATATTAATATATAAAGTAAAATTTTTTTGTGATGCAGGCAAACAAAATAATTCTAATATTTTAGAAATCATCAAAAGAGTTCACAATGAATTTTGTGATTGATTTTATTAAAGTTGATGATTTTCATCGATATGTAATATTTATTATGAAAAGAGTTTTATTCTGAAAATTTAGTAAGAAAAATTATGGGGCCAAATTCAATTGAAATGATTCTATTAGCGTATTTAGTTCATGATAAATGATATCTTTTTTAGTAATTATGGAAGGTATTAATAAAATATAGTAGAAATAAACTACTAAAATTAAATTTTATGAAAGAATTTGAAAGAACCTTGGTGCATGGTAATTCTCTTCAAGAGATCTTTAAAGAAAGACAATTAGAGATTAAGAAGTCTAATATTAATCTTGGTGTTATGATTAGGAGTTCTAGTTAGTGTTGATAGTAGTCGGTGAAGTTGATGGATGTTAGTATTAATGTTAATGGCGTACATCAGCTTTATAGATAATGTAGTGCATCAACATTATTGGTAAGTGGGCATTGACGATGGTTGTAATGGCATACATTGATCTTATAAGTGATGATATTATTAGTGATGATGGTGATGAGTTTGGTGGGCATCGATATTTGTGTAAATATGTGCATGGACTTTATAAATGATGACATTTATTGGGAGACTATCATTGGTTGGGGTAATCAGTAGATTGCAGTTGAACAATGTGTTGATAGTAGTCGGTGAAGTTGATGGATGTTAGTATTAATGTTAATGGCGTACATCAGCTTTATAGATAATGTAGTGCATCAACATTATTGGTAAGTGGGCATTGACGATGGTTGTAATGGCATACATTGATCTTATAAGTGATGATATTATTAGTGATGATGGTGATGAGTTTGGTGGGCATCGATATTTGTGTAAATATGTGCATGGACTTTATAAATGATGACATTTATTGGGAGACTATCATTGGTTGGGGTAATCAGGAGATTGCAGTTGGACAATGATAATTGGGAAACTATAATCAAGCGATGATTGTAGGGGACTATGATTAGGCAATCAAGCTCAAGAGATTGTGATTGGGTGGCAATATTCTAGTGATAATCGTTGGTGCTGGTGGTCCAATGATGGTGGTTAGGTGGTAGCGATCCTATGGTGATGGTCGGACAATGGCGATTAACAATGATGGTCATGTAATAGTAGTTTCGCTATGGTGGTGATGGGATTCAAAAGATCTAAACCAAAGAAGAACAATTAAGAGAAATTAGGACACAACTCAATCCAAAATAATTCAACAAACCACCGACAAAATCCAACCAGATGCAAAAAACTTAAACAGCTTTAGGAAACAACAAAAACTTAAATTAAAGAGAAATACCCATAGAACAACCCACAAGTGGTCACCTCACATGTAATGATAAAATAGGAATATAAGGTGATATAAGAACATGCAAACTTGAGGTCCACCATAGCAATTCTGATCCAACACCTGCCGCAACTCCACCGGCAAATACCAACAAACTGGCCAACAACACCAATCACACTTGTAGAAGAAGGATACAAAGGAAGGGTAACTTATGGAGAGAAGAACAAGGTAGAAGAATTAGAAGAAGAGATAAGTAGAGAAGAAGAAGCTCTCAAACTTTGGAAGAAAACCCTCAGATTTTGGAGACAACATAAGGTTCAACAACTTTTTCTAACAGTAGCCAAACCCCTATAAATAGGGAAAGGAAACCAACACTCACTTAAAGCAGCCGCCGAAATCAGTCAACCAAAATAGAGGGAAAAAACCCAGGAAAAAGGCCCGACCAACCCAAGAACCGAATGGAAAAGCAGCCCAACAGCCAGCCATAATCGGAACAGCCAAGAAACCCAACATAAACCAAGGAAAAAAAATGCACGACAGGCTCAGGAACCAAACAGCCAAGAGCCCAATCAGCCAGCCAAACACCAAACATCAAAAGGAAAATGGGCCACTCCCATTAAGCTAGTTCTAGACCAACAATAAATACCCATAAAACCAAAAAATGCTAGCAAACCAAAAGATTGACATGACTTAAGAGCACCTAACCTAGTCATGTCATTGGTTGCCTTCCATCATTGGGTAAACAAAAATAAAACATAAAAATATATAAATTACAATAGTTTTCAAAATAAATATAAAATGAAGGCTCTTGAATGCATCAGGTGGTCAGGCGTTGGTGGTTTGATGATGATGTTTGGGGGGTGGCGATCTGAAAGAGATTGTGATTGGGTGGCAATATTCTAGTGATAATCGTTGGTGCTGGTGGTCCAATGATGGTGGTTAGGTGGTAGCGATCCTATGATGATGGTCAGACAATGGTGATTGACAATGATGGTCATGTAATAGTAGTTTCGCTATGGTGGTGATGGGATTCAAAAGATCTAAACCAAAGAAGAACACTTAAGAGAAATTAGGACACAACTCAATCCAAAATAATTCAACAAACCACCACCAACATCCAACCAGATGCAAAAATTTTTAATAGCTTTAGGAAACAACAAAAACTTAAATTAAAGAGAAATACCCACAGAACAACCAACAAGTGGTCACCTCACATGTAATGATAAAATAGGAAAATAAGGTGCTATAAGAACATGCAAACTTGAGGTCCACCACAACAATCCTTGATCCAACACCCGTCGCAACTCCACCGGCAAATACCAACAAACTGGCCAACAATACCAATCACACTTGTAGAAGAAGGATACAATGGAAGGGTAACTTATGGTGAGAAGAACTAGGTAGAAGACTTAGAAGAAGAAATAAGTAGAGAAGAAGAAGCTCTCAAGCTTTGGAAGAAAACCCTCATATTTTGGAGACAAAATAAGGTTCAACAACTTTTTCTAATAGTAGCCAACAACTCCTATAAATAGGGAAAGGAAACCAACACTCACTTAAAGCAGCGACCCAAATCAGCCAACCAAAATAGAGGGAAAAAACCCAGGAAAAAGGCACGACCAGCCGAAGAACCGAATGGACAAGCAGCCAAACAGCCAGCCATAATCAGAATAACCAAGAAATCCAACATAAACCAAAGAAAAAAAAGCACGGCAGGCTCAGGAACCAAACAACCAAGCGCACAATCAGCCAGCCAAACACCAAACATCAAAAGGGAAATGGTCCAATCCCATTAAGCTAGTTCTAGCCCAACAATAAATACCCACAGAATCAAAAAATGCTAGCAAACCAAAAGATGACATGACTTAAGAGCACCTAACCTACTCATGTCATTGGTTGCATTCCATCATTGGGTAAACAAAAATAAATCATAAAAATATACAAATTACAATAGTTTTCAAAATAAATATAAAATTAAGGCTATTGAACACATCAGGTGGTCAGGCGTTGGTGGTTTGATGATGATGTTTGGGTGATGGAGATCTGAAAATGGTGTTGGGTCAGTGGTGGTTCGACAATGGTGTTAGTTCGATGGTGGTTCGACAATGGTGTTCATGTAGTACTCTAGATTACGTCTGAGTTCTCTCTAATCTCTTGTTCAACTCTATGTGTTATTAAGAGTGAGGATTTATTTATAGTTTTTAAGAGTGGTGTAGTCCTAAAATACTCCATTAGATTATTCGTATTAATTTACTTGATCCTAAGCCATTTTTAATTGTTTATGTGCCTTGGTAATATTAGAATTAAGCAATCTTGGGCTCATTATATTCCTCTAATTTAGATGCTCGATTTTATTTTAAACATAGCAAAATTCATAGATCATATGGTTCTTTAATTAATATCATGAAACTTCAAACTATACTTTAATCGATTTATTTGAATTTTTTTGGAGTTAGATAAATTATTTTTTGTGTCAAAGGATTTTTCCCATCAAGACTAATTTCTAACCATCCTCAAGACAATAAACATCATTTATTTGTATATATAAAATACATGGAAGAAAAAATTACAATTATTGCTAAATAATTTTACCTTATATCATGCCTTTCAATTTAGGTTTTGATGTATTTCTTATGCATTTTCCATTTTTAATTTGTGAAGTCCAAATCTTCATAAGATTGTTTTTGCTAATTATTGCAAGTAAAACAAAAGCATTTAATAGAAAAATTAATATTTTAAAATTTTAATTCTATAAAACAAAACATTTTATATTATTCTTATATTATTTAAAATTTTGGGTGTTATTTAGTTAAATACTAAAAATCTCGTGTTAAATATATAAATGAGATAACTTTGATTGTAAAACCCCTTATAACAAACTTTGGGCGTCTAAAACGGAGTTCCAGCGGGAAAGCGGAGCTCTTCCACCGGAAAATTTCCGGCCGTCGGCTTCCTCTTCGAGAGATTAACTAATGATGAAAATAATTTCTACCATTGCCTCGATCGATTCAAGTTTTTTATTCCAGTATTAAATTCTCTTCTCAGATCCTTCGCGCCGGGATCTTTCGCGGGGATGGCGCGGTTCTTCGTAAGCGAGCCGGAGGACCTACTGATCGAGGGAGAGAATGCGGAGACGCCGGCGAGGGTTTCTGCGAGGGCGTCAATGGTGGAGAGGTTCAAGGGGTGCGGGGTGGCGGCCGGGCTGCGGGTTGACTGGGATGATCTGCGGCGGCGGATCTTGATCCCCGGACGGCTTCGTGCTGCTATGGTGGAGGCAATGCGGAGTAAGGATCCGGTGGCCAGCGCTAGGGCTGCTGCGGAGGCCATGACGGGGGTTTCGACATTGGGGAGCGGGTGGATTGACGTGTGCCCGGAAGCCCCCATTGTGGTATTTGTCAACTCGCGTAGCGGAGGGCGCTTAGGACCCATCGTCAAGGGCCGCCTCATCGAATTGATTGGCCAGGAGCAGGTTGTGTTCCTTCTCTAGCTTAACTGATTTTAAATTTTTTTTTTGTCGGTTGAGTTTGGGACTTGTTTGATTTCATATAATAGTAGTTTTTTACATCTCTCGAAGGAGAATTTTCTAGGGACGTCCGATTTTGGTTTTTCTCATACTATTTCGATTTGAATGATAATCTCATTTACAACGGGATTGTAATTTGGTAGGAATGAAGCTCCCTAGTGGAGCAAAATAAAATCATTTGGTCGTAATTGGTTGGTTCATTAAGATTTGTGAAGGCTGTGTTTTTGATAATATATATTATTTCTTGTTATTTTTATTTCATAGAGAAGCTAGACAATGCATATATGAGTTAGAGCTTTAATAATTAATTTGGAGATCTTCGGATGATTTAAGGGAAGAGCGGAACTTTTTTGTCTTTGGACGCAATACATATGGAAGAAAAATTGTGTTTCTAGTTTAGTGGAAGAATGCGTCTCATTATTACTTCCATATGTTAGAGAGAAGTTTTGATTTCATAATCATTATTTGGTTCTCGTTAGAGTTTACTTGTGCTGAGAGCTTAATACGTTCAACCAAAAACTAGCATTTCTCATGTATAACCAATAAGCTAAAGTGGTGAGTAATTTACAGTGAGAACAATAATCCAATGAATAAGGATCTTAGAAGCAGCTTTCAATAAAAACTAACATAGATCATACGCGCACAAAAAGAGGATAATCTACAAACTCTTGAACTTGCAACGTTGTAAGTTGGTACTGTTTACCTTGCTACATTTTGGAATGTTTCTACATATTATCTAAGTTCTAGCCGCTATGAAACATAGCTGTGTGTAAGATTGGACGTTTGGACATTATAAAGTTGATGGTATATGATAGTGTGACTATTTCATTGGTTGAAGTTAGGTATGCACTGGGATTTAAGAAAGAATTTAATATACTTTAATCCTCTCAGTAAGAATTGTAGGATACAAGTTTTCTGATGACGCTAATTCCTTTATTTGGCTGTTTTGAAGACAAAAAGAGTCCGTGGACTCTTTGTTGCAGAGTGGACAACATGTAGTGATGTGTTAAATTTAACAACTTTTGTGAAACATCACAAATTGGAGAATCAAAGAAAAGTTTGATTTTGTTCTGACTGTGACTTATTTGTTAGTGAATCATATTCTGTCTCTTCTCCTGTGAGCATAGACTTATTTAAGCTGAAAAATGTAAATTTCGGTGTTCTATTCTTTTGTTATGGTGCATGATCTCGTATATAGTTAGTGATTCATTGTATTTATTTCTAGATTGACACTTCGATATTACAAAATTAGGCATACTCTTTTCTTAATATTATATAGGAATTTAGTATTCAAAAGTTTATGCATGAAAACACAATTACTAGAAAGTCCAAAGTTTTTCAATATTTGAACTATCCTCATGTATATGTTGTCTATATATATGCTCTAAAATTGACTCTTGTGCTGTGAGGAAACTAGAGAACATTTTAATGATTTGCACAACCCAAAGTGAAGAATGGCTCCATGTTGCAGGTTTTTGATCTTGCAGAGATGAAGCCTTCTGATTTTGTTCAATATGGTTTAGCCTGCTTGGAGAAATTGGCTGATCTTGGTCACCATTGTGCCAGATCCACTCGTGATAATATGAGGGTTATGGTATGTTGGTAAATTTGATTGGTAATTAGTTTTTCCTTATGCTTTGCCTGTTGAAGTGGTCTTTGCTCTTTGATTGATCATATATCAGATGTTTATATTCTGAATGTCCGCCAGGCGTATGCTTGCAATATGTGAAATCATTGTTTATTATGGGTTCTAGCAAAGGGGGTGGCGGTGGGGTATGTGAAATCATTGTTTATTATGGTGGGGGTGGGGGGGGGTGGGTGTTGGGTTGGCCCGAGCAATATTGGAAGTGTATAAATTAATGCCAAGTGTGTATGTGTGGAGGGAGGGGTTCCAAAGAACGAATCATCTGTCTGAATGAGTAAAACTGTGACAAAGATTCGTTTCAGGTCTCATGAGGAATTCTACACACGCTAGTGCACTTGGATCATGTAAAAAAAATGGTCAGAGGGCTAGAAATGGATTTTGTTGAAGGAATTCACTTTCAAATAAATGAAGTCTTAACTCAAATAGAATATAGCTACATAGCAAGCGTACAAATATAATTACAAAAATGAATTTAATGCTTAAGAAAATGGTTCAAATCACCCTAAATGAATGACTTTCACAGTTTAAGTATAATGCTTTGTAAAATGCAAGTTAGTAGCAAGAAAATAGATACTTTGTTAAAAGTAATAGATCCATTTGAAATGTAAATGTTAAATCCTCTTACTCATTCCAAATAATCCTTAGCTACAAAAGGAAAATACAAGAACCCAATGGGTTCCTCGAGAAGTATAAAACTCTTGATATACTGGATTAATCTGCCATCAGGCAGCTGTTTTCGCCAAAATATGCAAATTTTAAAATCAGAGCAATTGGTTCAACAAACATAAATTTATGACTCCACATCACATCAGCATACTTTTCACTCTTTTTTTGAAATAAAAAAGGTGTGCAAATTTTTTTTTGCTTTTTCAAGGACAATGCAATTGGATTCAACCTCTTTAACTTTTGTTGGTAAGGATATGTGCATTAACTCCTCCCCACATTTGTAAGTAGGAGATCATCATGCATTGGATTCTCCCTCAAGAAAAATGCAAACTCTTGATTCAAGGGCCATTACAGCAAGGTTGTCAGCAAATTTCTCAAATTTGTTAAGTTTTATAAAAAATGTTTCTCAGCATTGTCTACCTACACTAAGAACAGAACCAAATGTCGTATTTGACCATTTTATTAAGGTTTGAACTGATTCGAGAGGGAAGTTCCAAAAAATAAGGAAATTGTTTGCTTTGTAATTGGATTTTCTTAACAGAATTGTCCTAGTAAACACAAACAAAATACTAAATTATGTGTTAGAGTTTGCTGCATTATACTTTTTGTGTCCCAAATTTCCACTATTTTTCATGTCAAATCAGTTAAATAAATAATTATCATACATTTAAATTTGATATGTTGGCTAAACTACGGGGGTTGACCCCTATACATCAGACCATGCGAGAAAAGACTCAAATTGGTAAATAAAGCAATATGTGCATTGATGAAACATGTCACTTAAGGGGTCAAATGACCTCCAAATGCCAAATGGATGGTATCGTTGCGATCAGGACACTGAATTCTGCTAGGTCGAGGCCCCTTATAATTGAATCGGATGAGATTGACCCCTATACATCAGACCATGCGAGAAAAGACTCAAATTGGTAAATAAAGCAATATGTGCATTGATGAAACACGCCACTTAAGGGGTCAAATGACATCCAAATGCCAAATGGATGGTATCGTTGCGATCAGGACACTGAATTCTGCTAGGTCGAGGCCCCTTATAATTGAATCGGATGAGATTAGTCAAAAGAGACGACCGACACCCGAAATTAAAGCACGAGACTGATCAAACGATGTCGGATCAACAAACGGACATCGTCACTATGTTCAGAACATTGCAAATACTCAAAAATTGTATTTTATTTATTCAATTTGGATCATCCTAATGAGTGACATAAATTTCGAGACAACGCGTATTTCGAGGAAATCAGGCTTCGACA